AATGTTTTGAAATATGAATCACACAGCATGACTGTTTTAATCATAAATTTGAATTAGAATTGCAAAATGAATGAAATGATTGTTAACAATTTGTATCGATTTCAAATAAATTTTTTCGCAATTTTTGCTTCATTAATTATTTTTCTTTAATTCATTTTAATGGATCATCTTTGATGACACGTTAGATGTTGATTATCATTTTAATTTCAGGTAATGCTACCGGTACAATTAAACAAGAGCAGAGCAGCTGCAGCTCGTAGTTTGTATGGTCTTGGACCTGAACAGTTACTTGGTAAACTTTTTCATCCATAAATGATTTATTTTAGAGATTCAACAAACTCAGACTGCAACATTGAGTTTTAACAATTATATAGTTTCTTTAATTTGAATTTGAAAATTTTGGGAAATTAATGATTTAATTTTAGCCTATGCTTCTTGTTTGCCTCGACTTGGTACATATGGTACAAGTATGTTTTATAGCGGTGGAAGTAAGTATTCCATAATATTGTATAATAAATTTTCATTAATAGTGCTTTGAGATACGTGAAGCAATATTGTAATGAGATATATAACATCATTATGTTTTATTAATTATTAATTTATTGAATTTAATAAATTTCGTTAAGTGATTTCTAGAAATTTGAATGATGTGACGGATAAAATAGACAGAAAGCGATTATGGAAATAATTAATTAGGAAGTAGTATCTTTTAAAGAGTTGAGAAGTAGAATTAAGCTAACATTTGAATCTAAATGAATCATTTCTTTGTTGTAGTTTTCAACGGGTTTCAATCATACGCTCCGCTTGCGCCTACATCACCACCTGGTAGCGTAACAAACGGTGCTGCAGCTGCCGTAGCAGCTGGTGCCGCTGGCGTAACACGTGGATTCAATTTAGCCGCAGCTCAAGCAGCTGCAGCGCAACAGGCGGTCGCATTTGAAGCGGCAGCGCTATATGCTATCGGTGGTGAACCTTTTACGGGCATATATCCGAGTGCTATGCACCATCAAACACCTCAACTACCCCATGCCTTCCATAAAGTCTAAAGACACTCCCTGGTAAGTTATGTCGAATCGTGCCGTTTTTTCTTTCCATTCTTCAATTAAAATTTATTCTGTCAAAATTTGAATCCGAAATAAATCTTAAAATTAAAATGCAAATGGAAAATTATTATTTATCAGATTATGTGAATTATCATCATAATATGCAGAACAAACAGTAATAAACAGATAGCAATCAGGGAATAATTAATTAAGCTCAAAATTATAATGAAAAAGTTTTAGAGGAATGAAAACTTTGAATGAAAAGGCTTTCTCGTTAATGCTTTTCATTCGTGGATTAAAGTTTTTTTTTTCTACTCCTCTCTATTCAGTGCTTTAATTTTAGCGATCACTTACTTTTACTGATTAATAATTAGTCATTTAATGAAAAATTCATTTACTATTCAAAAATTCTCCACACGAAGTTCTTGCAAAAGTTTATAATAAGCGTTTTTTTTTTTCAGAAATATACGTTGAATGGTTGTTGGAATGAGAAATTTTTCTTTCCTTCCTAATCGATTCGTCTTTTTACATCCTTTGGCAATTTAAAAATAAGAAAATGTTTGTAATGAAGATGAGAGTGGCAACAATAACTGAAGAAGTAAACAATGCCAATGTCAATTGAACTTCTTAGTGTCAACAAATAAATTAAAACGCAGAACAATCTGAAAATCACCTCTTCACAGTATTTTCTTTATAATTATTTGAGCAAAGGAAGGAGACAATTATATTTTAATTTTTTAACATTTTTTTTTCACACTTCCCTCATACCATTTCGTCCCTCATTATTCCTTACTTCTTTTTTTCCAATTTCCATTATTTTTTTCTAATCGTAATTTCGTAATTTCATATCTTTATCACTCTTTTTTCTGATACTCATTCGAATGGAAAAAAAACTAATATTTTTTAACTTTTTTTCTTTACATAGTTTTTCATTTTTAAATCTTTTTTTCGAATTATACGCATGAAAATTTTTTTGTTTAAATCAACTGTAACAAAATTTGGGCAAAACATTTGTGCATTGCAGTTATTTAATTTAAGTGGTTATTGCATGACCCGAATAGTGATTGAGAAAATGATGAAAAATTTTGCTTCATTTCAAATTTAAGCCGCAAAAATTCTATTTAAAAGAGGAATTTGATAAATTTATGAGATTTGGAGTGTCTTTTTTTTCATAATTTGTCTCCTTTTCTTCCAAACATGACACAGCATGTGAAGGCGAACTTTTACTTTCATATACTGTATTTTCTTCCTTTCTTTTTTTAAATTTATTTATTTTTCCCTCACTTCGATATGATATATAAAAAGCCCAGCAATAATTGACATATGTTCAGGTTTTTTGCAATATGCCCCTACTTCTTCAAATTCTACTTTATTATTCTTTTTATTACCTTTTATTATTTTCAAGGTCATCTCATTATTATTATTATTGATCATTAATTATTATTGATAATTATTAT